GAGTATACCAACCAGAGAAAGACAGATCTCCATCAAGGAGCATTCCAGCTCCAGGCATCCTTCTTCCTCCAAAGCATATCTACACGAGGAAGACAGATCCCCATCAAGGGGCATTCCAACTCCAGGCATCCTTCTTCCTCCAGAGCATACCAACCCGAGGAAGACAGATCCCAAGCAAGGAGCATTCCAGCTCCAGGCATCCTTCTTCCTCCAGAGCATACTAACCCGAGGAAGACAGATCCCCATCAAGGGGCATTCCAGCTCCATGGATCCTTCTTCCTCCAAAGCATATCTACACGAGGAAGACAGATCCCCATCAAGGGGCATTCCAACTCCAGGCATCCTTCTTCCTCCAGAGCATACCAACCAGAGGAAGACAGATCCCCATCAAGGAGCATTCCAGCTCCAGGCATCATTCTTCCTCCAGTGCATACCAACCAGAGGGAGACAGATGCCAAGCAAGGAGCACTCAAGCTCCAGGCATCCTTCTTCCTCCAGAGCATATCTACCAGAGAAAGAAAGATCCCCATCAAGGGGCATTCCAGCTCCAGGCATCTTTTTTCCTCCAGAGCATACCAACCCGAGGAAGACAGATCCCCATCAAGGAGCATTCCAGCTCCTTGCATTCTTTTTCCCCCAGAGCATATCTACCAGAGAAAGACAGATCCCCATCAAGGGGCATTCCAGCTCCAGGCATCCTTCTTCCTCTAGAGCATACCAGCCAGAGGAAGACAGATCCCCATCAAGGGGCATTCCAGCTTCAGGCATCCTTCTTCCTCCAGGGCATACCAACCCGAGGAAGACAGATCCCAAGCAAGGAGCATTCCAGCTCCAGGCATTCTTCTTCCTCCAGAGCATATCTACCAGAGAAAGACAGATCCCCATCAAGGAGCATTCCAGCTCCAGGCATCCTTCTTCCTCCAGAGCATACCAACCCGAGGAAGACAGATCCCCATCAAGGAGCATTCCAGCTCCATGCATTCTTCTTTCCCAGAGCATATCTACCAGAGAAAGACAGATCCCCATCAAGGGGCATTCCAGCTCCAGGCATCCTTCTTCCTCCAGAGCATACCAACCAGAGGAAGACAGATCCCCATCAAGGAGCATTCCAGCTCCAGGCATCCTTCTTCCTCCAGAGCATACAACCAGAGAAAGGCAGATCCCCATCAAGGGGCATTTCAGCTCCAGGCATCGTTCTTCCTCCAGAGCATACCAACCAGAGGAAGACAGATCCCCGGCAAGGAGCATCACGTTGTCCAATGCATCATTTTTCCTCCAGAGCATACCAACCAGAGGAAGACAGATCCCCAGCAAGGAGCATTCCAGCTTCAGGCATCCTTCTTCCTCCAGAGCATACCAACCAGAGGAAGACAGATCCCCATCAAGGAGCATTCCAGCTCCAGGCATCCTTCTTCCTCCAGAGCATACCAACCAGAGAAAGACAGATCCCCATCAAGGGGCATTCCAGCTCCAGGCATCGTTCTTCCTCCAGAGCATACCAACCAGAGGAAGACAGATCCCCAGCAAGGAGCATCACGTTGTCCAATGCATCATTCTTCCTCCAGAGCATACGAACCCGAGGAAGACAGATACCCAGCAAGGAGCATTCCAGCTTCAGGCATCCTTCTTCTCCAGAGCTACCAACCAGAGGAAGACAGATCCCAAGCAAGGAGCATTCCAGCTCCAGGCATCCTTCTTCCGCCAGTGCATACCAACCAGAGGAAGAGAGATCCCAAGCAAGGAGCATTCCAGCTCCAGGCATCCTTCTTCCTCCAGAGCATACCAACCCGAGGAAGACAGATCCCCGGCAAGGAGCATTCCAGCTTCAGGCATCCTTCTTCCTCCAGAGCATACCAACCAGAGGAAGACAGATCCCTATCAAGGAGCGTTCCAGCTCCAGGCATCCTTCTTCCTCCAGACCATACCAACCAGAGGAAGACAGATCCCCAGCAAGAAGCATTCCAGCACCAGGCATCCTTCTTCCTCCGGTGCATACTATTCCGAGGAAGACAGATCCCCAGCAAGGAGCATGACGCTGTCCCATGCATCCTTCTTCCTCCAGAGCATACCAATCCGAGGAAGACAGATCCCCATCAAGCAGCATTCCAGCTTCAGGCATCCTTCTTCCTCCAGAGCATACCAACCAGAGGAAGACAGATCCCAGCAAGGAGCATTCCAGCTCCAGGCATCCTTCTTCCTCCAGGGCATACCAACCAGAGGAAGACAGATCCCCATCAAGGGGCATTCCAGCTTCAGGCATCCTTCTTCCTCCAGAGCATACCAACTCGAGGAAGACAGATCCCAAGCAAGGAGCATTCCAGCTCCAGGCATCCTTCTTCCTCCAGGGCATACCAACCAGAGGTAGACAGATCCCCATCAAGGGGCATTCCAGCTTCAGGCATCCTTCTTCCTCCAGAGCATACCAACCCGAGGAAGACAGATCCCCAGCAAGGAGCATTCCAGCTCCAGGAATCCTTCTTCCTCCAGAGCATACCAACCCGAGGGAGACAGATCCCCAGCAAGGAGCATTCCAGCTCCAGGAATCCTTCTTCCTCCAGGGCATACCAACCAGAGGAAGACAGATCCCCAGCAAGGAGCATTCCAGCTCCAGGAATCCTTCTTCCTCCAGAGCATACCAACCCGAGGGAGACAGATCCCCAGCAAGGAGCATTCCAGCTCCAGGAATCCTTCTTCCTCCAGGGCATACCAACCAGAGGAAGACAGATCCCCAGCAAGGAGCATTCCAGCTCCAGGAATCCTTCTTCCTCCAGAGCATACCAACCCGAGGGAGACAGATCCCCAGCAAGGAGCATTCCAGCTCCAGGAATCCTTCTTCCTCCAGGGCATACCAACCAGAGGAAGACAGATCCCCAGCAAGGAGCATTCCAGCTCCAGGAATCCTTCTTCCTCCAGAGCATACCAACCCGAGGGAGACAGATCCCCAGCAAGGAGCATTCCAGCTCCAGGAATCCTTCTTCCTCCAGGGCATACCAACCAGAGGAAGACAGATCCCCAGCAAGGAGCATTCCAGCTCCAGGAATCCTTCTTCCTCCAGGGCATACCAACCAGAGGAAGACAGATCCCCATCAAGGGGCATTCCAGTTTTAGGCATCCTTCTTCCTCCAGAGCATACCAACCCGAGGGAGACAGATCCCCAGCAAGGAGCATTCCAGCTCCAGGAATCCTTCTTCCTCCAGGGCATACCAACCAGAGGAAGACAGATCCCCATCAAGGGGCATTCCAGTTTTAGGCATCCTTCTTCCTCCAGAGCATACCAACCCGAGGGAGACAGATCCCCAGCAAGGAGCATTCCAGCTCCAGGAATCCTTCTTCCTCCAGGGCATACCAACCAGAGGAAGACAGATCCCCATCAAGGAGCACCACATCCCGCTTTGTCTCCTTCTTTCTCCAGGACATACGAACTGGGGTCAAGTCAGATCCACATTGAGAAGCAGCCTTTAGCTAAGTGCATCCTTCTAAATCAAGGGCCAGTCTATTCTGGGCAGAAATCATCATAGTTAGCTGGGCTTCCCGTTCTAGGACAAGGGGATGGCGGAGGATGAGAGGACTGAGGAACAGTAGAATATGTTAACGTTGCTGTGCGAATAATCAGCAAATATTTTACTTAAAGATCGAAATCCATATCCATATCCCATGCTTCTGGTACGAGAAGACACAGATAGAATTGAATACTCCCCGGGGAGCTGAGACAACAGTTGAAACGCACATTGACACGTTAACCAGGGTACAAATGTAACGCTACATAACCCAGTGTGTAAACAAGGCGCAATATTAATATGGTTTTATTGCGTGTCATCGTGGATTATTGTTCATACTATCAAACACTGGTTTGCCTGACCAAGACTGACTGGGATGGTGCAGACAAACCAAGAAACACAATGAGTCGTATACGGTTTTGAAACACCCCTCATTAGTGACATCAAACTTGTTGAAGCATCCTTTATTTGAACAAAGGGATGAAGCGGGGCAGGCCAGGTATGGGAACCTCACGCTTCGAATGCCAGATATGCCCAGATTTTGCTTCTCGTATTGTTAAGGGGCGGTCTGGTATCCTAGTGGATGAAGCGTTCGCTCGTCACACCGAAGACCCGGGCTCCATTCCCGACATTGGAACAATGTGTTAAGCCCATGTCTGGTGTCCCCCGCCGTGATATTGCTGGAATATTGTTAAAAGCGGCGTAAATCCATTAGCACCTTATGCATACCCGTGTTCGTTTGTGTCTCCAAATTGGTAAACGTTCAAGGCCTGCATCTCTTAGGGATTTGTTTAACTGACACACTCATGAATAACTGACACACGTTTCTTTTTAAAGCAGCGTATGCGTCATACCCAAATCTCTTACCCTTTGGCCAGAGGCGGCTGGGTAGCCCAGTGGTTAAAAAAAAACACAAGCTGTGACGGTCAGCTCAAAGTAATTGGGCAATTTAAATTGAGGCAGATCGGATACGTTTATGACTTTGATGAAACCTTCGAGCACGGGAATGGTGCTGTTACACTAAGATCATGACCGCTGTGTTTGTTTGTTTGATGTTGTTTAACGCTGCACCAAGCAATATTCCAGCTAATTTATGCAGTCTATAAATAATCGAGTCTAGACCAGAAAATCCAGTGCTTTACATCATAAGCATCGATCCACTCAACTGGGATTATCATACAATGACATCAATCAACCAACCAGGTCAGAGAGCCTGACCACCGGATCCTGTTAGTCGCCTTTTACGACAACCATAGGCGCCTTTTACAGCAAGCATGGGTTGCTGAAGACCTAATCAACCCCTGCCATCGGATCCTGGCTTGGACAAGGGACCCAACTCGGACGCAATCCGAAAATTCAGAAAAACACGTAGCAGTAACAGTAGCCAGACGTTTACGAGGGACACGCTTCACTGTAAACTCATGGCAATGTCCAAGAGCACACATGGTACACTATAACAGGAACATATAAGCACGTTCTTAACAACAACACGAAACACATATAAGCGATTTATATCACAAAGACTTTAATTACAAAAATATCACATGTCAATTTTAACATTTTGACAAATGTTGCAGATCAAAAAAACATCAAAACTAGGCCAAGCATAGATATACACTTTAATGACAAACAATTTTTTAACTTCACAGTTTTAGTCTGGGGTATTATGCGTTAGTTTCAGCATTGTTTCAGCTAGTCGACACTCCCAGGATGCGTCACAAGTCTTCCTCGATGGTCGCCCATGTAAGTACTGACGACAACTTACCGTATTCGGCACAATAAGCGCCCAGGGCGCTCTCAAAATTAGAAATAGGGGGCTCTTATTAGAATATAATTTTGGTGAGAAAAAAACAGATCGTTAATTTCGTTGTTTATGCTAACAGCCTGAAATGATACAAAACAAAAGTCTGTGCGTATGATACACGACAGATATATTTTCCAGAATTTAATTGCCCATAATTAAGGATGCATATAACGCACGAGTGCGTATTATACACGAATAATTAAGTATTGTGTACATTGATCAATCGGAAAGGGTGCTAATTGGGATTGTTCACTAGCCAATATATTAGCAAATATCGCCGTGGGCGCTTATTAGAGCGGGGCGCTTATTACGTCGAATACGGTATCTCAAGTTATCTCAAGCACTAACTTTACACTTTACTATCAATCGCGTGAAGAACAAAGGACAACGTAATTAGAACGCTATCGCATCCGTCTGTGGAATCCTTAAAAAGATAGTTATTTCACAAACGGTTTGGAACAACCAAAATCATGCGTAATGGGCAGTAATAAACATTCACGACCCCTTGCTATTGTCATCAAGGGGATTTAGAGTAACAAACACCAGAATAGTAGCCAAAATAAATCCATAATTACACATACTAGAGAATACAATGGTTTCATGAATAAAAGCAATTCTGGAACACATTATAAGAGCAGGATGCTGGAATGTAATTTTCTGAACACCCTACTGCAACCATTGTGGAGATCTTATATGACGTCACAAGGCGAAAAATGAAGCGACGTTATTTACAATGTCAAGGTTAATGGTCACGTGAGCAATGCAACCAATAGAATTGGAGAGATATAAATACCACCTAGAGAACTATAGGTAGACTAGCATTCTATTATGACAAGGAGATTCATTGGTTTTGTTGGGCGCCTACAAAACTATAAAATAAAAAACGTTAATAACACATACAGGGCAGCATTCACACAAAGAACACGTTAGATGAATGAATACTTGTGCATATCAATTTGAACACCATTGATAAGTAATCCCCAATGAAATGAATACTTTGATATACTGATATAGAGTTTTAATGTTGATGCTATCGAAGCTTCGGTATACCATGGACGTTTTTTATGCGTTTCTCGTTATCAATTAGTTCTACGTGTGATTGATCTAAATATTGATTAATTATTAAATTGACCAAAAATGAGGTCGATACATATCATAATCATATACACTAAATAATGTTGGGCATGACAGTTAATAGGGGAAGGTATCTGGGGTAGTTTTTTTATGGAAACATTTGTTTTCTATAAACAAGCAGCTTCTAGGTTCAACAAACAATCATTTCCAACTCAAATATATTATTTTTTTATCTTGACCAAAATGCAAATTTTAAAGCATTTCACAAAATATCTATTTACAATACACAGTCAACAATTTCATAAAATACATTACGTTATCGCTGTTTCATAGGCATGTGATAATGCAGCGATGGGCAGATTAAACGTGTATATGAGCAATGATACACATGTTTAATCAAAAAAATCATTTCACACTATACATTATAGTTCAGCCAATACAGATAACTATTGGATGCTGAGAGTACATCACTGAATTACAGCATAATGCAGTATGTAAATAACAATACACATTTGACGTTAACAAAACAAAAACTACCTTCGTTAAGGACATGAACCTCATGCTTTACCGTCCAAGGTTTAAACACATGACCAGAGACAAGGGAAAGCCAACGAACGGGCGAATTGCCTTAACAAATTACAGCATGATTTCTTCTCCGTCATAAAAGGGGATTGAGGCCACCTTAACGTGTGTCAAGTAATATGAACAGATGCCCCAAGGGAGATTCAGACTGATGTTTAACGATAACATGGTGATTTCCTTAACTAACCTGGCATTCGTGGTCACAGAAGATGGAGCGACTCTTGCCAGTGGTAAAATGAGTTCAGAGATTGTGTTGTGGACACAGTCTCCGCAGCGCCGATATAGCAATTGGTCATCGGTAGATTCGAAACAGATGTGGAATTATGTCTTAACTGATCAGTTCCGAAATCTTATCGATCAATATTATTAGGAACGCCAGATCCCACCAACAAAGGAACTTAATAACTATCATTCGCTTGATAATTAACATTCACTCTAACTTAAAATCCGCTAGTGAAATAGAATGCCAGATTGGGGAGGTAGGTTTAGACACACGTCGATGATGTATCCTTATGTTTCCCCCTGTAATGCAATGACTTTAGGGTAAAATGTACACGATGTACGTCAGTACCACGTACTAGTTGTATCTAACGCCACACTCAGCAATATGACTGGACTGTAATTATCGGGGAACAAAACACACTATCCACCCAGTCACTGAGCCCGACCACCGATCCATTTTGTCGCCTATTTTGACCTGCATAGGTTGCTGGGACTTCTAACCAGGAATCACCATTGTCAACCACGGACCTAACGAAGCTGATAAATACGTCCACAAAATATACAGACGGTCGGTAGCCGGCAAATGTACGGAGTCAAAATAGAGGACAAAGGATCCCCCTGCAAATTTGGTGTAATTTGGCAGAGTGGAGACAGAAAATGCGAACAGGGATCTGGGAACGAGTAACAAGCACCATTGTCAGCAGTTAATGGACTTAGAATCTGATGACCGTCTTCTATATGCCTAGCAACGGCCTCTTACCTTGGCCAATGCCCATTGAAGACTTAGACTTCATACTCTCGAGACAGCGTGATTGGGGATGATGTAATGACTGACTTGAGATGCCACGTCCTTGCTTTGTGTTACGATAACGCCTGTTCAACAAAGACCTGTAACATTGACGCTGACGAGTGCCGCAGCCCTGATGGCAACGTTACACAGGATGTATTACTCCTAGCTAGTCCTCCGCTAACCAGAACAACAATCAACAACATAATAGAGCATTAGAAACAATGGTATTTTTACAATGGATTCGAATTCGAATATTTTCATAAACGAACGTCAACTCTTTGCACTTTTTTACATGCATATAGCGATGACAAGATCACCTAGAAATAGAGCATTTTTTTCAAAATATCTCACGCATCCCACAGAATTAGATTCAATTCAAACACACACACACACACATATTCATTCACTCATACGCCATTCAGAAGTAGCTTCACGCAAACTCACAGACGTAGCATGCAGTCATGTTCAACCTCAGAGCTTGAACAGGCCAAAATAGTTAGACTTAGGGTCCCTCGAGACCATGGTGATGTTAGAGACCTTCACAAAAACTTCATCTCCTTGGCGGAGATGGAACACAGCCCCCAGGTAGCTGGTGTACTCCCCAAAGGCCTTGTTCTGTCCCCAGCACTTTGTGATGGAGTTCTGGATGAGTGTCTCCTCGCCGCCGTGAGGGTAAATGATGTTGTAGCGGTAGAGATAGTGGGAGAGGGAGGGGGACTCCGTGCTGTAGGAGCTGCTGCTACCGTCATTGCGGACGTTGAAAACCTCGAGGAAGGAGATTTGGCTGTAGACGTAGAAGAGGCCGTCGGTGGGAACCACAATGCGGCCGTGTCGGTAGCTGACGTGGTCGCTGAAGGCAAGGTCTGTGGAATAGATCCAACTCGAGATGGGGAACTGCTTGCCTGGAACTAAAGAGGAAGAATATTTGTAGCCCATTGTTATTCTGACGTGATTGTATTCAACATCAACTTATAATTGACTTGGCTCACAGGCCATAGGGGGCGGTCGGGTAGCCTAGTGGTTAAAGCGTTCGCTCGTCACGCCGAAGACCCGGGTTCGATTCCCAACATGGGTACAATGTGTGAAGCCCATGTCTGGTGTCCCCCGCCGTGATATTGCTGTAATATTGCTAAAAGCGGCGTAAAACCATACTCACTCACTCACAGGCCATAGTGTGTTCCACGAGTATCAAGTACACTCAGATGTCGTCACTGTACCATCTACCATCTACCTTTTCAATTTATAATATTAATGTAATTGCTTGTCTCCCTCAAAAGTATATATTTTCAGAGACTAAGCATTTTTCTGCTAAAACTCTAACTTGATTATGTTAGTTTATTTTGTTTGTATCAATATCAACGTTTTCACTGGCACGTTTTTGTTACGTATGCTATTTTATTTGAAACACGCCGATTGCATAAAGAATTTGCTTTAGTTACAATAGTTCACAGAATAATTCTTATATTGCCACGGAGAAAATAATACCAGTTTGTACAGTACAATTTAGGAAAAACACGCTAATAGAGGAATTCGACTCAGTGCACCTTTCCCGAACCTGCACATTCCAAGTTAGACGACTTTGAAGCATAACTATTAATTTAACAATCACATGCCAGTCAAAGTGGACACAAATTTCATGGATAACAACTTGTTTTATCACCATGTAGAAGGATCTATACCGAAACGTCGATCATACAGCATGATAAAGAAGATGTTATCCATTAAGGTTGTGCCTCATCCGTCATCTTCTGAGAAATGCCTTTCAAACGATACACATGCCAGTGTTCAGAATCATCCCATGATTCCAGTGAATGATATCCAATCAAAAGGAACTGTTCCATGTAGACAAAGCCTGAATTTCCTGAATACTGAAACTGAACCTATCCAGGTCACCTAATTTCAACATCTCAACCACCCAGTGTACAAGGGACAACACTTGGCTGTTTACCTTGGGTTTGGTCCATGCGTTGAACATCCCCCATCAGATGGGCGGCAGGCCTGTCCACGTCTGTGGCCGACCCCATGCTGCTGCTGGGGATCTTGATATTGCCTGAAACACAAAGAAAAACGTAAGTTCACTTCAATCTAGAACATCAACTTCAACGTAATGGGGGTGGTGTGGTAGCCAATTGTTCTATTCCCCACATGGGTACAATGTGTGTTGCTAAAAACGACGTAAAACCAAACTCACTCATTCACTAAACGTATTTATCGCTTTGGATACAATGTTTGTATATCAGTTACTGTTGACAATATCCATTCATATGCACAAAATTTTAGCAAAATATTCAATTTGCATAATGGTAACGGATGAGAAAGTGAAAATGTTTTAATGCCGCATCAGCATTTTTTCAGCTATTCGCGCCAAAGGCACACACCTACAACAATACCGATCAGTACCAGTGTATCACCTGACAGCGAAACCGAGTACAGTTATGAACTTCTGCATACAAAATATTAATGTACATTCCCATGCCATCCAGAAATTTTATTGTTTACCAGCCCCGATCAGATATCAAGTATACATTTATGTCATTCACAATAAGGGAACTAAAACAAGTTATGACATTTAATGTGCAATTCGTCAAACATAGAAATTGTATTTTGTATTAGAGAACGATAAAACTCCAGCTGGAATTAGCACAGGATGGATGAAGAAAACCCGAACTTTAGAACAAATCTTGACAAATGAATATCTAACCCGTGAACCGTCCTCGCGACAGAGAAACAAAACCGGATTAGAGATATCCAGATTTACGAGGTTCAACTGTACATAGATTGTTGTTGTCTCCCCTGAACTGCCAAACATCCTGCAATTGATGTGCGATAAATGTAACTATGGCAGCAGAGATTGAGGTCGGCTATACTGCTTCGATCACACCTTATCATTAACCTCCCTGCTCGCCATCTACAGAGATCGCTTCATCTGATTGGCTGCTCGGATTTGAATCTCAAGGGAGCGTGCCTATGATTGGCTGTTCTGAATGACTCCCAAAGGGATACTGGGTTCCTATTGGATGATGTGATTCCGGGAGTCTGGCAAACAACACGCTCAACATTGATTCAGTTCGTTATAATGAATTATTCTCCGTGGAATTGGGTTTTTACGTCAGATTTGGATTGTAAAGAATCGTTTTATGAATTTATCTCTGATTCCTTAATAGGAGTCATTGTGACTGAAGACGAAGACTTTTTTGTCCCACGGAAACGAGTGAGCTACCCGACGTGAGGGTAAATGATGTTGTAGCGGTAGAGATAGTGGGAGGGGGAGGGGGACTCCGTAACCCCCCAAACGGAACTGAAATGACTGACTTATGGGACAAGAAAAAATATAGGAAATGAAATGGAATTTACTTGTTCACTGTGCGAATTATTGCATATATGCTATTAATTCAAAATTATGTTTTAGATGATAAAGTCGAGTCCTTATTAATGCAGTTCAAAAAGTCAAATGGTTTTATTTTAGATAATTTGATTTTGATATTGATAAAAAGGAGCGGTTTGTGTGCATAGCTATTATTCATACAAACGAATAAGACAGGCATTGCCTCACAAAAGATTTTATGTTTTGTTAAAAATAAATACAGGCCATCAATTATTTTCGCATCAAATCACGAGTACAACAGGCTGAGATTGGAATCAATTGAGAGCTTTCCAATGCCTGCATTAAAATTGAATAAAACCATGAAGTATCCATGGCAACCAATTCCTCATTTTACAAAGAGAAGCCTCACAACGGAGTTTCCCCGAACGATGCCACAATCCCTCTATCAGAACGTTGCAAATGCTCCGCAATAAACAAAACTATGACACTGGGAAAGTGCTAAATCAACAAATCAGCACCAGCACTGCCACTCATTAAAGTTGGCATTATTACACAAAACTAACATGTATTGGCGTAAGATCGACAGCTGAGAGATCGATAGATCAATCAATACTTGATGATTACATTCCGCGATCAGAGCACTTGGCCTTAGAGCAATGCCGGCGTGTTTACTCCCTATAATATGCAATCATAGAGTATTCACTTTCCCTGAAGGCAATTAACAGCGATGTGCTAATGCTGTATTTCCAACCACTTTTTCACACACTGCAAAGGAATCTGGGTAATTTCACAATCAGACGAACGTTATTCTCTGACAAAACTCTCAAAAACACACAGTCTTAATTACGTTTTCTCGCCTTTGCGTATTTATCCGTACCGACATGCTATTATAACAAGTGCAGCCAGCAAGTTTAATGACCAAGTTCTCCTTCCGCATAATAATGACTTCACGCGGCGAAAGAAAATACCCTCGTAGAATTTGACAAGTGACTTTAAATTGCGACGCAATCAGGGTTGTGGCAAAGTGGAAAAGAAATTTAATCTAGATTTATTTTAAGACCCTTCACGTGCTATTGCGTCAACATAAGGAGACACAGCCTCTCCTGAAAATTGGCACGTGAGCGAATAAAGGCAACTATTAAGTGTTCTCTTAACATTGAGTTGGAAGGTGCAGGGACAGTCGATGCATAGTTATGACTAAGAAACAACTTAACTACCATTTTCCTCAAATTAGAACCGTTTCAGGAAATATATATTTTATTTGGAACAAACGGGCTTATAATAATGACACAAACAGATTTTTAATACTTTCATTTTACATCAATTTTATATCCATGTTATATCTCAAAATCGTTACATGCCAGACGTTTCAGTTTGACCTTACTTTGGTAGTTTGGTTCAAGGTAATAAAGAGCTGTGTCTGTCAATGCCACGTCCACTTTGCTTGGCTATCATCGCTACACAAACGCATTGAAATCGGAGACCTTTCAGCACAAGGAGATAAGTGAATATCACGGCTGTAATCATTCCACCACATTACGAGACACGGAAAAGTAAGGACGGCAGTGAGTTTGAATACAATTCGGACATGATAGAGAAGTCTCGGTCCCTGTCGTTTCCGACTTCAATCAAAATCACAAATTTAATACACCGGTACCGCCATTCAGCAGTGAAATAGATGCAGATTGCTCTCGAGGCGTGATGAGATTAAGTGTGCTCAGATAATGATGACGTGACCACTCATTGCGGTGTAATCTCGAACCAGGGACAGTGCATATTAGCTGTCAACGTTGTGCTTTGATTAGCCCGTAATTACAATTTTGGTGCTAGGTTAATCGTACTATTGACTTCTGCCAAACATTATAATATGACTGAGTTTGTTATAGACTCATGGGCGGCACGCACAGGTTATTAGTTCAAAGGCGGCATGGGTTAGTAGTTCAATGGAATCATGATTGTTAGTTCAATAGTCATGTTGTCTATGTAACATGTTTCCGCTAAAGTGACGGCAAAATTACAAGAAAGTATAATAAAAATGTTATAGGCTGAAAACAGTCTTCGAATCACTGCAAGGTCCAAAACATAACTGGACCGCCTCCGTGGTCTAGTGGTAGAGCGTCCGCCCGGAGAGCGGAAGGTCCGGGGTACGATCCCCGACCGCGTCATACCAAAAGACGTTAAAAGATGGTACTTGTTGTTACCCTGTCTGGCGCTCGGCATTTAGGGGCTAAAACAAGGACTGGTCGACTCGGAGTCAGTATACTGTGTCTGAGTGGGATATTCATGTTAAACTGCGGCATGGTATCTCAGTGAGCTAGCACTTTAAATCGGCATCAGTCCGGACTAGTATAAGCAGCCACACAAACACACACACGTACATGCACGTCGCTATATAAGTGCAATAATCCTGGACGCGACGTTAAACCCCATTTCACCTCACCTCACCCAAAACATAACTATGATACCAGTATGAAACAGCCATTTCTTAGTAGTTTCATTTTTAGTCAAAATCAACCATGGTGTATACTCTCTTCTGCCTGGAGGTGTATTACCACAGCACGTCTGTTAAAGGTATTTGTCTTGTTTGTTCCTTGTTTAACGCCGCACTCAGCAATGTTCCACTTATATGACGGCGGTCTGTACATAATCGAGTCTGACCAGACAGTCCAGTGATTGACATCATGAGCATCGAACTACACAAGTGGGAAACGGCCACATACATCAACCAAGTCAGCGAACCCGACAACCCGATCCCGTTAGTCGCCTCTTACGACAAGCATAATCGCCTTTTACAGCAAGCATGGGTTACTTGTTAAAGATGACTTACATTATCGACATTATTAGATATTACCTAACAACCCGTTAACGTAATGGTTACATGTGAAACATGTGAAACTTCGAAACGGGTTTAAGTTTGCTTGCCTTCCAGTATTGTTGACTTTAGTGACCTTCATGTTTGACGGTATGTCACACTACTTTGTGTTTTCCGCCAGCCAGCAGTCTTCTAACAACATAACGTCCAGACAAACCAGTGGTCGATGTTATAAGCATGCCGCCCGTCATAATGAAATTTAATTTACCATGTCACCGGACCCGTGAAGATCCGGGTTCGAATAGGTCTTAGCAACCCATGCTTGCCGTAAAAGGCGACTGTACTTGTCGTAACAGGCGACTAATGGGATCGGGTGGTCAGGCTCGCTGACTTGGTTGATGAGTGTCATAGTATCCCAATTGCGTGGATCGATGCTCTTAGTGTCAATCACTGGATTGTCTACAGATATAACGAACTCAAAGGGATCACTAATTTTAGTTCGTTATAAACGTAGTTTGTTATAAGCATATGTACAGCATAACCACAGCAGATAGTCGGGACAAAAAAGTAAGTTCGCTATATCCGTCAGTTCGTTATAAGCGTGTTCGTTATAAACGTAGTTTACTGTACAAGGTTTCTACCCGTATTCTTCCGATCACGGGCATCGCCCTGACTAAACAAGGATCTGGAATTCGAACCTCGACCACCACAGGCAATGGTCGAAACTCACAGCGACAAGAGTCAGACCACTTCCACCGACCGTTCCACTACAGATGTGTTGATTTAAAAGCGTATGCTGCGACAACCACTCACAGTCAAACAGTGCCGTTACCGATGACGAACTTGAGTTCCATTATCTCAAAGCAACTCACACCAAGCTCACAAAACCCACTCCAACTCAACGTCACTGATT